GTTTTTCGAGACAGGGTTTCTCTGTGTAGCTTTGCGCCTTTCCTGGAGCTCACTTGGTAGCCCAGGCTGGCCTCGAACTCACAGAGATCCGCCTGACTCTGCCTCCCAAGTGCTGGGATTAAAGGCGTGCGCCACCAACGCCCGGCTAAGGAATTTTTAATAATTAAAATTTTTGTAGATGATAATGATTATACACTATTGAGCTTCTCAGCATATTTAATATATTTAGTTATACCATTAATTTTATATTAAGAGATAAAACTTAAATTTTATAGATTATTTTATGTGTGTGAATGTTTTGGCTTGCATGCATGATTGTGCTCCTCTTGCATACTTGTTGTCCATAGAGGTCAGAAGGTGTTGGATTCCCTGGAACTGGAGTTAAAGATGGTTGTGAACCACCGAGTGGGTTCTGGGGACTGAGCATGGGTACTCTGCAGGAACAGAAGTGATCTTAACTTCTGAGCCATCTCTCTAGCCCCAGGATACAGCTTTTTAAAATAATAGTTTTTTGTTTGTTTGTTTTCTGTTTTTTATTTTATTCTTTTATTTATTCTCTTTTTGTTTTGTTTTTAGACCAAGTCTCACTGTGTAGCACTGACTGGCCTGGAACTCGCTGTGTAGACCAGGCTGGTTTGGAACTCACAGAGCTCCACCTGCCTCTGCTTCCCCTATGTTGGGATAAAAGGTGTGCCCACCACTTCCAGCTAAAAGTAAGTTTATCAGACTGGCACTAGGGAGGTAGAGGCAGGTGGATCTCTGAGTCCTAGGCCAACCTGGTCTACAGAGTGAGTTCCAGGACAGCCAGGGCTATACACAGAGAAACCCTGTCTCAAAAAATGAAAAGAAAAAAAAAAGTAAGTTTATCATGTAGTTTATGAAGTAAATACTACCAGTTTCTATCTTTTGACTCCCAAAATATTGTGAACTTTTAAATTATGTTTTATTTTTCTTTTTCCATTTTTTTTCTGTGTGGGGTGAGGGGTATTGGTGTGCATATTTGTATATGTATATTTTTGTATGTATATGGGTGCATATGTATGTAGGCATACATGCATGTGTGCATGTATACATGAGGAGGCCTGATGTTGGCATTAGGAGTCATCCTCGATCACTCTTAACTTTTTACATTGGGGCAGGATCTCTCAGTCAAGCCATAGCTGAGGTTATGGCTAGCCTGTTTGCTTTGTGGTTCCCTGGCTCTGCCTTCCAAGGCTGAAATTACAGATGGGCTGTTTGCACACTTGACATTCACGTGGTTTCTGGGGAATCCAGGTTCTGGTTTTCAAACTTGTGTGGCTTTAACCCTGAGCCATTGCTGTAGCCTTATGTTCTATTTTTTTATCTTTCTTTTTTTTTTTTTTAATTATTTTATGTGTATAGATATTTTGCACACAAATATATCTTTGTATCACATATGTTCCTGGGCCTTGCAAGGCCAAAAGAGGGCATTGGATCCCTTGGAACTTCAAGTTACAGAGTTATGAGCTGTAGTGTGTGTGCAGGGAATTGAACTCTGATCTCTGGAAGAGCAATAAGTGTTCTTAATCTCTGAGCCATCTCTCCAGCCCTCACTCCTTTTAAAAATACTTATTTTTATTTTATGTGTGTGAGTGGTTTACCTTCATGTATGTATGTGTGCTACGTGCATGCTAGGTGTAGGAGGCCAGAAGCGAGCAGCAGACCTCAGGGAACTGTATAGTTCCTGATGGTTGTTAGCTGCCCTCTGGGTGCTGGGAGCCAAACTGGGTCCTCTGCGGAAGTGGCAAGCACCTTCACGCCGGCCTTCGATTTTTTAAGGACCTTGCCCCACCTTTGAAACACTGTGTAACCCAGACTATCCTCAAACTCACAGTAATCCACCTGCCTCAGTGTACCAGCAGACTGAATTAAAGGTGTGGTCTATTCTACTTGGCTCTAGTCCTAGTTTTCTGCATTTGTCATTACCCAGATGACTCAGATGATTAACTTTAAAGGAAGAAGGGTTTGTTTCGGCCTGTGGCTTTGGAGGTTTCAGCTCATGGTTCATTGGCTCCGTTGCTTTGGGTTTACGATTGGGAAGCATATCACAGCAGGAGTTTGTGATAGTCACACCACTGGCCTCTCTGGCAGGAAGTAAAGAGGAAGAAGATCCACACTAGGATCTTACAGTGCTTTGCGGGTGTATACTCCCAGTGACCTCCCAGAGTTTCCACTTCCTCCTAAGTATTTCTACCCCTGGGGCCAGTCCTTTAAATAAATGGGCTACCACTCCCCACCCCAACCTCCCACCCCCAGCATCAGCATATTTAAGATCTAGACTATAGTGAATTTTTTCTGCAACTAACTTTAAAGCCTTTAAAGCAGTTTGTGAATTTGCAGTTTTAATTTTTATTCACTATATTATAATCTATCCCTGATACTGGGGTTTGTGGTTGTTTTGTGTGTTGAGACAGGGTCTTGCTGTGTAGCACAGGCTGGCCTGGAATTGGCTCTGTAGCTAGCCTGAGTTTGAGCTCCCACTTCTGCCTCTGTTGCCCAGGAGCTGAGATCGGGGGTTTGCATCGATTCTGTGCTGTGGGTGTTATTCTTTGTGGTACTTGTTGAACATTTGCTCATGAGACATAAGCCAACTTCAGCACTGCATTGCCAGTTTCCCTTTTTGTTTTTTAAAGGCACAACAGAAACTTCTGTTCACCATATAGATACATCAGTTCATTAAGCTAGTCTTGTATTTTACTACTGTAAGTAATAAGTCAGTCATCTCACGGATTATTTCTTTTATTGCTAGAGGTATCGCTTTGGGATAAGTTCTTAGAAATAAACTTCCCTGGGCGTAGGGTTGACATGTAAATGGTTTTGTGCATTTTTGATGAACTCTTGGACTTTGCTCTCATTTAGCTCACTCACAGGCCTGCTTTGAGAGGCTGATGTCATGCTTCTGTGTTGAACAAGAATTGGTTGTCTCGGTACAATTTCAGCTCCTTTATGAATAAAATTGAGCATTTTTTTCGTAATTTTAAGGATTGTCTTTTTATCTTTGGACTGTCTATTCAGGGTTTTTTGTTTTGTTTTTTAGGTCTTGGTTATTTTTCCTCTCAATTTTTAAGTACTAAGGAAAATCAGTTCTAAATCTGCAATGTATATTGCAAATATTAAGTACTGATATTAACCTTTACTTCTGTCACAGTAAGGAATTGGATGTTGGAACTTCTGCTGTATGCTCATTGTACTATTTTATTAATTCAATTTTTAGCCATTTTGATTCTTTGTCTTGAAAGAAAATGAATTAATCACCTAGTACATAATGTTTCAAAAGTCAGTCAAAATAGTTCTTTCTTAGTTATTAAGAATTTATGACTGAGAGAGAGATAAATGATTTACATAAGGAGAAATGTGCTGAAGTTGCTTTTCAGGGAATCACTCCAAGTGGTGATAATTTTGAACAAAAGAAAATTCGTGAGATTCTGACGCTTTTATAATTAGTTTGGAATCAAACACTAACCTTTCGTTGAGGATGTTAATGAGAATTTATTACCAGTTGTGATTATATTAAACATGAAAGTTTCTCACTAGGAAAAGAAATTACTTGCTATGAACTACATTTTTTGTATGTTTTAGGTTTTGACAACGATCCGTTCAGGGCATCGAGCAAATATATTTAGTGCAAAGTTTTTGCCCTGCACAGATGATAAGCAGATTGTGTCTTGCTCTGGAGATGGAGTCATATTCTATACTAATATCGAGCAAGATGCGGAAACCAACAGACAGTGCCAATTTACGTGCCATTATGGAACTACTTATGAGGTACAGTGCTGGGATTGCATGTGTAAATGTGTGCTTCTGTGTACGTGTATAGATGTGTCTGCATTTGTTTACACACGCATCTACATTTTTTGGTATAGAAATTATTGGAAGATTGTATTTCACCAAAGCACTTCTGAAAATTTATCATGGTAGATTTTGTGCATAAAGTTATAAAAGTAAGAATCAAATATTGGTATTGTAAGATGAATTTGCAATTGCTTAAACAACCATGTCTTAAACAGGTACTAGTCCCCCCTTGTGTATTTATTTCTTTATTTTTAAATTAATTTTAAGTTAGCATACAAAGATAATGTGTTTTATTGTGGCAGACCTTTAAAGATGCTCCTATTGCTTTACTACATGGTTTTGTAGTAGGTTTTGTCCTCTGAAATGCACTGCCTTACAGAGATTGGTTTCTGTCTTCCTCTCTGTGTAAGCTTATTTTGTGTTGCAGTAACACAATAAAATGAAAAAACTTTTTTGGCATAGGATCTCACTATGTAGCTCTTACAGGCATGAAACTTACTTTGTAGACCAGGCTGGCCCTGAACTCACAGAAATCCATCTGCTTCTGTCTCCCAGGTGCTATGATTAAAGGTGTTTAGTTTTTCTGGGGCTGATTTTTGTAAATTTTGTATTGCTTTTTGTCTTGGTTAGGGTTTCTATTGCTGTGAAGAGACACCATGACCATGGCAACTTTTTATAAAAGAAAACATTAATTGGGGTGGGATGGCTTGCTTACAGTTCATAGGTTCTATCCATTATCATCATGGTGGGCAGCATAGCGGTGTGCAGGCAGACATGGTGCTGAAGAAGTAGCTGAGAGCCCTATATCTTGCAGGCAACAGGAAGTCAACTGAGACACTGGGCATTATCCCTAGCATAGGAAACTTCAAAGCCCACTGCCACAGTGACACACTTCCTCCAGCAAGGCCATACCCACTCCAACAAGGTCACACCTCCTAATAGCTCTATGAGCTTGTGGGCGACAATTACATTCAAACTACCATGTTTCACTCCCTGGCCCCCATAAACTTTTTAACAATATTATAATACAAAATGCATTTCGTCCAACTTCAAAAGTCCCCATAGTCTTATCACAATCTCAACAATGTTTAAAAGTCCAGAGTTCAAAGTCTCTTCTGCGATTCATGCAATCTATTAACTATAATCACCTGTAAAATCAAAATAAAAAAGCAGATCACATACTTCCAGCATATAACTGCACAGGATATACATTACCATTCCAAAGCATAGGGAATGGAGCACAGTGAGGAAATACTGGACCAAAGCAAGACCGAAAACCAGCTGGGCAAACTCCAAACTCTACATCTCCAGGTCTGATGTCGAAACGCTCTTCAGATCTCCACTCCTTTCAGCTTTGTTGACTGCAACATGCTTCTCTCTCTTGGGCTGCCTCCACTCCCTGTTAGCAGCTCTCCTCAGCAGGTGTCCCACGGCTCTAGCATCTCTAACACCTTGGGTTCTCCAAGGCAATCCAGGCTTCACTTTCACAGCTTCACTCAATGGCCTCTCTATTAGGCCTTCATTCAGGGATACTCCTGACACAAGCCTGGCTGGCCTCAGCAGTTTTTCTTGGGCATGGAGGCAAATTCTAAAACCTATTTCTTCTGTCCTTAACTCTAAAACAAGAACCACATGGCTGAAGCTGCCAAGTTCTGCTGCTTACTGGAGCTGGATCATGGAACATGGCCCTTCCATTCAATTACATCTTCATCAGCTTTCTGTTCTTCACTGCCTAAGCTTGGCTGTCCTTGAACTTGCTCTGTAGACCAGGCTGACCTCAAACTCAGAGATCCATCAGCCTCTGCTTGTGGAATGCTGGGATTAAAGGTGTGCATCACCACTCCCAGCTCTAAGCTTTTCTTTAGTTCTTTTTCACAAATTGGAAACTTAGCTGGATGGGATGGTCACCACTCCCTTTATTCCATTTCTTAATCCATTTATCTCGTTGAGCACAGAATTTAGCTCTATTCTGTTTCCTGGTGCCCCTTTTCTCAATCTGTACATTTTGTATTTTTCCTTGCTCAGCTTGTACCTTTTCATTATAAATCTTCATTAGAGTTACTACTAATAACCACACGACAGAGTCTGTACTAGGCTGTTTTGAGATTTCTTCTGCCAACAGAAGTAATCCAAAATCTCTCACTTTAGCCTCAGGCGGACTCTTCAGACAAGGGCAAAAAGCAGCCACATTCTTTACCACAATATCACAAGAATGATATCTAGGCCATATATTAATATTATTCTCCTTTGTAACCTCTTGAGCCAGCACCCTGCAGTTCAAATAACTCAACTTCATTTTCCATGTTCCTATTAGAATGGCCCATTAAGCAGTGCTTAAAGCATTCCACACTGCTTTCCTAACCCAAAGAACTAAAGTCCATATTACTTGTCCATAACAAAAACTTGGTCAGGCCTATCACAGCAATAATACCCCACTCCTGGTACCAACTTCTGTCTTAGTTAGGGTTTCTGTTGCTGTGAAGAGACCATGACCATGACAACTCTTGTAAAGGAAAACATAATTGGGATGTCTTGCTTACAGTTCAGAGGTTCAGTCCATTATCATCGTGGCAGGGAGCATGGTGGTATGCAAGCTGAGTGGAGAAGTAGCTGAGAGTCTTACATCTTCCAGCTAACAGGAAGTCAACTGAGACACTGGGTGGTATCTTCATGTGTGCTCACTAAGTCTCTTACTAGGTCAGTGGCTAGACTGGACATAGGTTTCCTAATTGCTTTGAACTCCTAGTCTAGTCTTTGTCACAGGCCATCACTTATAAATGTTTTAATAATTCATATTGTGGTTGCCTAAATGAAACTTGTTTTTCTAAACTAGTGAACCGGTTAGATGAAAGAATTAAATCAGTTGTATAAATAATACTTTAGAAAATATGTGCTCTTAAGAATTTGGTTTATGGACAGTAGTATGCAAAGTGAAAAATGACCCTTTTATTGAATGAAGTCATCAGAGCTGAGTTAGCAACAAGTTGCAATACATTTTACTGATAAAATGACTTTATAAGTAAATAATTCAACACTGCTAACTCATTGAGGTGATATAATAATCACATTTCTCATATATGTGAAATAAGTCAAAAGTCATATCTTCCTTGAAATATGCATTCCATTCATTTGTGTTAAGTGTGCTTTTTATAACTGACTTTCTGTTGTGTATAAGTCTTATTATTTTGTGTTGTTTATAAACTTGTTCAATAAAAGCAAAGAAATATCAATACTTGAAGTTTTAGAGAAACAGACAACACAATTTTTTTAATCTGAAAATCAGCTAAAATGAATCTTTCTAGGCTCAAATTCAAGTGTTTATGGGTCTGTGAGCGTGAGCCTTATGGGTTTACCTTTTCCACTTCTATAACCTTTATACATGCTCTGAATGAGGGTTCCTTCCTCTGTCTTTTAAGTCACCAGTCTTCAAAACGTTTTTTTCTGTTTGACTTTTTCCATTATCTTGTGGTCTTTTCTGATACATTTTTGCCTTCCTCTTTGACTCTTATAATTATTTTGGCTCCATATGGCAAATTCAGCAAAATCTTCCCAATTCAATGTCTTTAATTTAACCATACTTCTAAAAGTTAAGTTGTTCAAAGTTTATGATTTTGGAAAATCATATATGAAATTATATTAATTTCAAAGTAATTTCAAATAATTTCAAAGTAATCATTTTACAAGGCTGCTGTATGTCTGTGTATTCTGTGTTTTAAATCATGCTTTGGATAAGTCATAGGTAATGACTTACATGGATAATTTTGTTGCGTTTACCTTCATGGATGTATCAAACAGTAGTAGTGTATTTCTAAGACCCCTGTTCAGTTCTTCAGTGGTGTTTCTTACACTTTGTCTCATCTTCAGATTATGACTGTCCCAAATGACCCTTACACCTTCCTGTCCTGTGGGGAAGATGGAACCGTTCGGTGGTTTGACACACGCATCAAAACTAGCTGCACAAAAGAAGACTGCAAAGATGTAAGAGTCCAAGTTCTCTACCAGTGACTTAGAAAAATCAATTATGACTCAATGAGATACCTTTGGCGATCATTCTATTTTGCTAAAATTTTCAATCACAAAATTCTTTCATTTCCATGTTAATGAGGTTGAGAAACTTCTATTTCAGTTGTCCATTAAGATACACTTTTATGGGGTAAGAGAGATGACTCGATCCGTAAAGCACTTGTTATGCAGAGCATAAGGACCCGAGTTTTAAACCCGAGAGCCCAGGTAAAAGCTGGCATGGCAGTGTGCATCTGTAATCCTACTGTAGGCCGATCACTGGAGCTTATTAGTCAGCCGCCCTAACTGAAGGATGAGTGTCAGGGTTAGTGAGAGAGTGTCTCAAAGAATTAGGTATAGAGAAATTGAGGACGCCCCCTGACATTGACCTCTGGTCTCTGTACCCACACTCACTCGCACCCCCCCACACCCTCCCCCACAAAATATATGTGACAATTTGTCTAGTTTTATAAAAACCTGGAGAGTTCATCTCATTTAATAAGTAGACAGTTTGGCTTACCAAAACAGCAGTGATTAAAAGTGTGTAAAAATTTAGTATCTTTCCCTCCGTCTTTTAAAATAAGAAATTTTTTGTTTGTTTTAAAAAAAAATAATCAAATTTAGCTCACATCCCAAAAAGTGTTTACTTACTTTTATTTTATGAATTAATAATATTTGAAACATATAAAAGGCCTAACCCAGCTGGTGGTGGCCCATGCCTTTAATCCCAGCACTTGGGAGACAGAGACAGACAGATCTCTGTGAGTTAGAGGCCAGCCTGGTCTACAGAGCAATGTCCAGGACTGCCAGGGACACACAGAGAAACCCTGTCTCAAACAAAAAACAAGCAAACAAAAAAGCAAAGAATAAACAAACACACCAACAAAATGGCCTGAAAAATGTCTTTTGGCCCTAGACAGCTTCTTCCAAGAGTTTTATCTGTCATCAGTTATGAAGAGTATAGTAGATGTTTACTGAATCACTGAAGTAATGAAATAAGTTAATGAAATAAGAAATATTATTCACTTTATTTTTATTGAAAAGCAGCAAAAGCAAAACAAAACCAAGAATCATTATTAGTCAAGTTGAATACTTACTAACTAAACCAGTGAACCTACAGTAACCACACAAAATGATATACATTTGAAACTGGTGAAGCAGAAAACAAAAAGTAGAAACAATTTTTTTTTGAGTGTTTGTTTTTGTTTTTCAAGACAGGGTTTCTCTGTGTAGCCCTGGTTGTCCTGGAATTCGCTCTATAGATCAGGCTGGCCTAGAACTCAGAGATCTATCTGCCGTTGCCTCCCAAGTGCTGAGATTAAAGGTGTGTGCCACTGACTGGCATAGAAACAGACATTTTAAACACAAAATTTTAATCTGTTTTATGTTATGTAACACATATAAACACATACACACATTGAATGGAAAGGTTAAATATGTTTAAAATATTGGGTGTTTAGGGTTCAGGGATGAGGCTCAGTGGTAGCCAGCATGCCAAAGGCCGTGTTTGAACCTCAGTATTGAGGAAAATGTGTATCTATAATATCTTCATATACACGTTTTATATACATTTTCCCACATCATTAAAAGGCTATATTTAACACTGTGGAGTGTACCCCTCAAGAATAAAAACTGCTGGGGAGAGAGAACCCCCTCTCCCTGAAGAGTGGCCTGGAGGGTGGGGAGCAGATAGACTACCTGAGATATTCTGCAGACTCAGGGCAGTAAACACCATGAGTGCTGGGACCTGTGAGCTCTGCTGGAAGAAACAGGACCAGGCCAGGCCTGGTTCTCGGCATTCAGGTGAGAAGAGCAGGAGGGTTGGACAGTGAGGGCTTCAGGTACACAGGTGAAGGGCAAGAGGGAAGCCACAAAGCTCCTTGCTTCCTCCTCCTCCTCATTTGTCATTTTCTGCTTATGCAGCCTAATCCCTGAGTCGTCCTGCTTGAAGAGGTAGCAGAAAGCCGTCACCTTGGTACTTGCCCTTACCTTGACATAATTACTTTGCCTTTCCATATGTGGCAGGCAAGCTCATGCTGGTTAGTGTGGGCAAGGGCAATGACCCTGACTTCCCTCCATGAAGTCCCTCACTCTGTCCTGGGTCACAGGCTATATACATATTTATATACATATATCGGGTTCTTTGAGAACATTTGCTATCTCTATTTCTTAGTAAATGGTGGGTACTAAAACTCATTATTCCAAATGCGTTTAAACCATGTATTAGTCCACACTTTAGGAGGGTGCAGGTGTCCTTTTCTAGGTAATGTCCTTATAATAATACAAGGGTTAAGAAGTGGAAGAATTATTTCCTTAGTAAAGCTTATTATATGTGTAGTTGGAAAGTATAAAGAAAATCCAATGACTACAGAATAATTCCTAACTACCAAGATGTTCAACTTATGAAATTGGTAAATATATGTGATAGGAATAATATTGTAAGGTTTCCTGTTGGCTAAATATGCTAGAAATGAATTTTCACAGTCTTAAAAAATAAATGACAAGAAAACCATATTGTTGTGCTTTCCCTTTGTGTTTTTGCTCACTGAATTAGAATGTCTGAGGTTATTATAAGGTTATCATCTTATAGTTAGAGGGAAAAGGTTTTACATGTAGAGTATCCACTTCTGTGTAGCTCTGTGTAACTGGTCTCATGCCTGTCTTTTGTAGGATATTTTAATCAACTGCCGGCGTGCTGCCACGTCTGTGGCCATTTGTCCCCCAGTACCGTATTACCTCGCTGTGGGTTGTTCTGATAGCTCAGTACGGATTTATGACCGGCGGATGCTGGGCACGAGAGCTACAGGTGAAGAAATATTTTGCAAAATTTGGGGCCAATCAAAGAAATGTTTATGACATTTTACATTTACCTAGTTTTTAATTTCGTTATAAAATATGATTTAAATAGCATAGATTATTCTGAGAGGAAAAGTGTTTTACTACTTTTAGATGCTCTGTTGGAAACTAGGCATAGTGTTGCGTGCCTGTAGTCCCAGCACTCTGTAGCTGGAAGCAGGAGGGTCAGAAGTTCAGGGTCATTCCTGTTTGAGGCCAACATGCACTACATGAGACCTTGTCTCAAGCAAAAGAGAACAGACTCTAGTGGAATAATGCTTTCACAGTTTATCCGTCTAAAAGAATCATAGCAGGAGCTGGGGAGATGTTGCAGTGATGAAGAGCATTTGCTGTTCTTACAGAGGACTTGAGTTTGGTTCCCTGCACCCATGTTAGGCAGCTCACAACTGCACCGGATGCTTCACAACTGTCTGTAACTCCCACTGTAGAGAATCTGATGTGTATTCTTCTGATCTCCTTAGGTACCTGCACCCAGGTACACATCCACACCCCCAACGTGCGTGCGTGTGCGCACACACACACACACACACACACACTCTCTCAATCAAACACTCATACACATAAAACAAATCTGAAAACAATAACACACTTGATTTGTTTCTTTCCCAAGGCTGCCATAATAAATTACTCAAAGCGAGTCTCTTGAAATACTAGAAATGTGTTTTCTTATATTTCTAGAATTTAGCTATCTGAAATCAAGATGTCGTAGGGTTATTTCTGCTAGAGACTTCGGGAGCATCTGCTCTGTGCCTCTCTTTTGCCTCATGATAATTGGTGCCAAATTTTGGCAATGTCAGGAGAACACTTTGATTTATAAACCTATGATTTCTTGAAAGTAATTAGGAGACATATTGATAAAGGAAAATAGATTTACTTATATTGTGGCCAAACTGTGGAGAGAAGGATTCCTACTTTCTCTCTGCCTTTCTGTAGCAGTGTTATAATTTTATGGAAAGCTTGAAACAAGAGCCAGGAAGTAGGGGTGTACAATTTAGACAGATCTATGTCAAATCTCTTCCTGGAAGTCATATTCTTCCTCCAGATGTCACCGGGGCTTTAGCCCTTACTGTTTCCAAAATGATAGTCCTGGGGAAATTTGAATTCTCTGGGCTTTAGCCCTTACTGCTTCCAAAATGATAGTCCTGGGGAAATTTTAATTCTCTGGGACATTGTTTTAACAGCCACAGAGAAGGATACAAGTGTCTCTCTTTAGACTGTCTCCTTTGCTGCCAATGCATTTCCAAAATCAGACTTCAATTCCAGTAGTCACAGCAGTCCAAGCTAAGCAGATATGAATATATGCTACATATTATTTGATACCCAAGTCCAATTAAAAAGATCGTGCATGTGTACATGTACATATATACAAAGATGAGTATCAACTGTTAGTCACATGTTATGTTATGGAAAGTAAAGGACCTGGGCAGAAACTACCAATGTCAGTAATAACCAACCTAGATGATTATCAAGTGGGAGGGAATGCCAGATGAGAGTGTTTCTGTTTTTCTTTTTTTTATAATTTATTTATTTTATGTGCATTGATGTTTTGCCTGCATGTATGTCTGTGTGAGGGTGTTGGACCCTGGAGTTACAGACAGTTGTGAGCAGGAATGTGGGTGCTGGGAATAGAACCCAGGTCCTTTGGAGGAGCAGTCAGACTCTTAACCGCTGAGCCATCTCTCTAGCCCCTCTGGTTTGTTTTTAATCAGTTTTAATTCTTTGACAATTTCACACATTTGTGTACTATGTTTTGATCGCGTTCCTCCTCCATTCTTCTCCCTGCAACCCTTCTATTCCAACACCGGCCTTCCTGCCTTTATGTCACTTTCCCTCAATAGCCTGCTAAGTTTAGTAGAGTTGCTTGCATGTGCATACATGTGGCGTATTTACTGGACAGCTCACCAGTGGCTACATCTCTGAAGAAAAATTCTCGCTTTCCCTAGCCCCATCAATCCCAGTCGCTCCTCAGTTGGAGGTGGGGCTCCTGTACCGCATCAGTGTTAGACTGTCAGTGGGCTTATATACGCGGGCAACCACAGCGCCTTGTGAGTTCATTCATGGGTGCAATAGCAGCATCACCAAAACAGCATTTCACATCACTCCTTCCCATCCTCTGACTTTGACATTCTGACAGCCTTTCTCTTTTGTATTGTGATGAGGAAGGAGTCCTGTCAATTTGCATATGTACATTTTGGGTGAAACTGTATGATAATATGAAATTATAGGCTCAATTATTACTCTCAACAGAGGCAAGACAATTTACATTTTTAGCAGAATTACATAGCTTTGGGGATCCTTAGAATTTGGTATTCCTGGGCCAATTGAACTCTCTCCTCTTATACTGAATTGAACTGAAGACTACCAGAGTTTTTAAAATTGGGATTATAAACTAGACGTTGTGGTCAATGCCTGTAATCCCAGGACTGGGGAGGCAAGAGAGGAGAATCATGAGTTCAAGGCCAGCCTCAACTTTGCAGCCAGATCACAAGGTTTCAAAATGCCAAGGACTAGAGATGCAGCTTAGTGGTCGAGTACTGGCCTAGCATGTGCATGTCCCTGGGTTTTGTCCCTCCACCACAGAAAAGTAAATCAATTTTAGAAATAAGGAGGGGAGTATATAAGATGTAGCCAGAGAGTATAGCAAAGAATACCTCATGGTAAACTAGTTGGAGAAACATAGACAGTAGTCCTAAAAGCTAACTAAACAATTTACACACAAAAGTAAAACCATTATGAGGCAGAAATGTAAGAGTGGAAGTTGGGTAACAGAAAATAAGAAAAAGAACACATATGGAATGGGTTGTTGGCACAGTTCCAGAGTTGAAAGGTGGAGTTTTCAGATCCTTCAGGCTCTAGCAGCTCTCTGTGCCCGTGAGGGAGGAGTGAGTGACAGCCTTGGTCTCTGCAGCCTCATTTGGGTTCCTGGAGAGTGAGGTCATAAGTTCTTGGCAGTTGCCTTGGGCTCCTGCACTCCGCTGTGGCCTCGGTCCTGCAGGTTGGTGCAGTACTCCTCTTGTAGTTTCTGCTGCTTTCTCAGTAAATGCGTTTTAGAGGGAGGTGGTGGGGACTCCAGGGAAGCTGCTTCTGTGAGTTATCAGCCATGCTAGGGTGGGCCTTTTCAGAGATATAGTTGTTTTTTAATCTGCAGAATGTTTCTAGCATAAGTTCATTTGTCAAGTACAACTATAACATACAAAGTGACTTGGAAGGAAAGAGCACGTGTGTCCCTTTTGAGAGAGGTCCTTTTTAAAAGTTCCTCTGAGCTACTGTTCTCTCAGGTGACCAAGGCCCTGCTAGCTTTGAGAGAAATGGACTAGGGGGCTATCAAGGCTCCCCAGGGGTGGCAGGAATCCCTGGTATGCCCATATACTCTGGACTTCCTGGTTCTAGTGTCTGGGAGCCAGCCTTCTGCACCCTGCAGACTATTCAGGGAGCATTCAGTAAAGGTCCCAGAGAGCGGTGAAGGCTGTGATGACTCCTGCATGAACCATATCTGATAGAGGAACCTGGAAGAGAAAGACCATCCAAAGCTACAACAAGAAGAATAGCATAGGCCGGGTGGTGGTGGCGCACGCCTTTAATCCCAGCACTCGGGAGGCAGAGCCAGGTGGATCTCTGTGAGTTTGAGACCAGCCTGGGCTACCAAGTGAGTCCCAGGAAAGGCGCAAAGCTACACAGAGAAACCCTGTCTCGAAAAACAAAAAAACAAAAAAACAAAAAAAAAAAA